CTGTTTTTATCCTGATATTCCACCTCCAGAGGTAGAGAGAGACTGATGCTGAGATCAGACACACTGATGCTGGACAATAAACTGTTTCCTTTGTACCAGGAGAGAGTCACATGACCCACATTCACCACTGAACACACCAATGAACAATTCTGTGATGAAGATGAGGATGATGAAAGATTTTGTGAAAAATCTCTGGTGATGTTAGGAGTGGGCAGACGAGCTGGAAAATTTGAGAGTGTAAACAGAAAATAAATGTAAACATTATTTTCGGTGGAGTGTGTTTACAGTCAGTAACTGTTTCTGTGATGACAAACTATAAAATTATTAAACATTTCAATAGTAAAAGCATTATTTAAAGTTCGCTAAAGCTCAATCTAAAGCAGTGCTTCTTAATCCTGGTTCTCGGGATGCACTGTTCTGCACATTTTGTATGTCTCCCTTTTTAAATTATAAGCTTCACCAAATCTACTTTTAAATGGTAAAAAAAATTAACCCAATTAACTTTCATTATAAGCGCCTCTCTGATTCCCCCCCCACAGAACAAATGATCTTTACTCACCATAGACAGAAACACTGAATGTTTTTGATAACAGTTTAGCTCCAGTTATCTCTAGTTGATAGAGTCCAGCGTGTTCAGTTGTGATGTTTCTGAGGGTTAGAGATCCAGTTTGATTGTCCAGCTTCAGTCTCTCTCTGAATCTCCCATCAGGACCATCAAATGCGGAGAAGATTTGCTTCTTTTTTTTTTATTTTAGCTATGAGAGACTTTTCAGCGCCAAATTTCCACAGTATGTCATCGTCTTCATATATTTTAGTAAGATCAGTGTTCAGAGTGACAGAATCTCCCTCCATCACTGACACTGACTCACCAAACACACCTGGAGAACAAACTGGAACAGATTTCACACTTTTGTCGGTTTACAAGGCCTGAAGTCAGTTCTTGTTTCTAAATATGTACTGAGGAACATCCCATACAGCAAAAGAAAATGCATGGACAACACAGATTGATGTGTGAAGTAATAAGTAATAATTTAAGCTTTAAGGTGTTATCTGCTTGTAACCACATTTATTTGGATTTACAGGCCAAGTTCATTACAGCTGAGTAAAACGAATGCAGAGTTTAGTGGATATTTTCAGTAGTTTCATTTTAAATCAGGCTTACTGAGAGACAGACCTGAAAAGAGATCTGAATCCAAAGTAGATCTCACAATATGATCTGTTTTATTTGATTGATCTGGAAGGAACAGCGAATGCAAATCCTCCAACAAAAGCAGCATGTTTATTACCTTGAAACTGAAAGAAATTAAATAACTTGTATAACTTACCAATCAGACGGCACCAGCACAAGCAGAGCAAAACAAACCTGTGAAACATTTTCTTCAGTAGTTCACTGTCTGTTCTAATAAGACCATCTGCTGAAAACACTCAGCTGTTCGTCTGCTTTATGAATCCTCCCACAGCAGAGTTTGACCCACCTAATAACTCACTCTGTATGTGTTAGAGTCTACAGTTTACATCTAAATATGGCTATGAGATAATACTGTAAATCTACACTCTACAACACCAGCATTTGTTAAAAAAAAAGGCATTTGTGAGCATGTAAGAAAACCAGCTGAAGCACTGGTCATTACAAAAAACATATTCTTGAATTTTTTATTTTTTTTTTCTCACAAGAGTGGATATTTCTTTTTTTCTCCGCTGTGTACTGAGGTACTGGTGAGCTGCCCCCAAGTGGTAGGCTGATATGAATTACTTCAGATGACTCCATTTTATTTTTCTGTAGAGTTGTTTTGAGAGTGTCCCCCAAATACAGCTTTATATTTGAAATGTCCTTTATTCAGGAAGGGAATCCTTTGTAAGGGGACCAAAACATTTAAAAACGCCTGATGTAAACCATGTGTTTCTATCTATTATTTCTATAGTAATGCAGTTTGGCCATTCAAATGTTTAACTATTCCATCATTATTGTATGGAAACAATCAAGCCCAGCTTCTAATATGCCTAATAAAAAGATGGCTGTTGTTCAATCAGCTTTTATTGGTCATTTGTATTCAACAGTGATATAAAACTATATTCCCTTTTGCCAAAATGTAACCACTTGTTTCAAACCACACCCACTACTATTGTGAGCATCAGACAGACATTAAGAAGACATGAATCCAAATGTTTTGTCAGATGTTATCGCCCTGAAACAGTTGCGCTTGTTCCTAATAAAGTGTAAATGATATGACAATGAAAGACTAAAGAGGCTCTTAGAATTATTCGGTTAATCAGCTTTCACTGAAGATTTTGTTAAACAAAGATGCAACAGTGTTCAACACTGTTTAAGTATTTAAAAGACACAGAGTTAATAATCAGGTTTTAAGACTGAGTATATCGTTTTTTTTTTCTCCCTTAACGTCAATGCCTTACACTCCAACCCAGTAGGTGGCGGAATATAGGTTTGCCAACCTGCATTATGGTCAAAGAAGAAGAACTTGAAAGAATGAATGAAATTTGAAATTAAACACGTTTTTTTTTATATGAATATTTTTACTTTGTAAAAAAAAACAAAAAAATGAAACTCCCATCTATTTTGATCTCGGCGTTCTTGTTTTTACTCGCACATGGTAAGACATTTTATGTTACAATCTCTGTTCTTGTTAGCTACAATTTAAACAAAGCGTACTCGAAGCACGTGCTCAGCCCTATGGGCATTATTGCACCATACAGTGAGTAAATGAAGTCTATTAAAAACTAAATTATTACACAAATGTTGAAATCTATTAAATCGTTATATAAACTGATAAGTGTACATTGAATGTAACTTGAGTCGCTTTGAATAAAAACTTCTGCCAAATAAATAATAGGCTATAAATGAACATGAAACCAAAAGTTATATTTTTCAAAGTAGTAGGCCTACTAAAAAGAAAATCAATATTTTGTAATTAGCACCATTTTCTTAAGTGTTTTCATGGAATAGTTATTTATAATATTCGTAATGGGACATATTTATTGTGAATTTGTGAAAATACTTGGCTGCATGGACGCACACATATGTTCGGGGAAAGCAGTTTATATGTGAAGTATGCCTGATGGGTGAATGTGAAGGCTAAATCAATGATGAACTTCTTATGCTGTTTGTTTCATGTGTTGCTTTATGAATGCAGCCATGTCTCTCTACGATCTTGAGGTCTTCTGTAGGCTAGAAAATCATTTATCTTGGCGGGGTAGACAGTCGGTGTTACCAGTATTAAGGACTGTTTACACCAACATCGATAACAATAACACGCATACAGTGAACGATAAATGTCTGTTTATTCTAATCTCGCGCGCTGCAGTTTCCCAGTAATGAAAGTGGATGTAGTTGACCTGCTAGGCTACTGCTTACGTTTCGCAAAGACACAAAAGGAAAAACGGATGATTTGGGGTGCATGAGATAGTTCGAAGACGAGAGGAGTTAGGAATCCGCCACTCTGTTTAGACAGTATCGTCTTTTAAAGAGACATTTTATTCATACTATGTCCTAGAGCACTTCTAAACCCGGGGTCTTCAACCTTATTTCATTCGGGAGCTACTTTTTAAAAATGAAAGCTGCTGAGAGCTACCAGTGTTATACAAATGCAAACTGTTATAAACATTGTTAAAATGCGCTGGAAATATTTAAAAAAGTCCTGATACACACACTGAAATAATTTGACCAAGTTTTATGATAAAAGCCAACAAATGAATGAAAATGAAAATGAAAGTGAAGTGACGTGTGGCCAAGTATGGTGATCCATACTTGGAATTAGTGCTCTGCATTTAACCCATCCAAGTGCACACACACAGTAGTGAATAAACACACCGTGAACACACACCCGGAGCAGTGTGCAGCCAATGCTGCGGAGCCTGGGGAGCAGTTGGGGTTCGGTGCCTTGCTCAAGGGTCTCACCTCAGTTGTGGAGAGCGCTGGTTATTCACTCCCCCCACCTACAATCCCTGCCGGACCTGAGAATAAAAAATAAAATCTAATAAAATTAGCAGCAGTATGCACTTTCTGTTTACATAAACAGTGAAATAAAAACATTATAAATGATTGCCGGATTTTAAACTAACACAAATGTTCATAACATGTTATCTACTGACATGTACTACACGTTCAAAAAAAGTTTTGACAATTTTTTAAATAAAATTATAACATTTCAGCCTTTATTATTATTTTTTTTATAAAAAGGATGAGTCATAATGAAAAAAAAAATATATATGTATATATATATATGTGTATATATATATATATATATATATATATATAATAGTTCTACATCAGCTAATGTGCATTTAAAAAATCTCAACACTTCTGATAACAAGGTAGCCTATTTTCTGTCGACCGGTTAAGATTTACAACAAAACTTTGGTCTGATTTTTCCATTGGTCTGAACAAAAAGATGGCAGACAGACTGAATTAATGAATTTGTAAATCTACAGTTTGACAGCAGATGGCGCTTATGAACAGCAGAACAGAGCCGTTTCCACGGTAACTTCGCTCTGATGAGAATGTCTTGCGTGTTAACCAGGAACATACTCTGTGTTGAATGAACTTACTCTCGGATGCGTTTTTGGAACCAGTATACATCGAGTAAGCAAGGTTTGGGTTAATCAACCGAGAGTTTAGGGTTTAGCAGATGGTAAATTAATCTTGCTTTCTGGAATACACTCCTGAAGCAGCCAATCAAGCTCCTCAAGATTGCTTGAAAATACACAGGCAGGTGTGCTGAAGCAGGTTAGAAATTAACTTTGCAGGATAGTGGGTCCCAATGAACAGGGTTGAAGACCTCTTGTATATGCCATGCCTCCAAGACATCTTATTAGGTTTTGTTAAGAAATATTTGTTTTAGTTGTTGAATACAAAAGGTTTGACACACATTTTATTCACCCTGACATCCCTATTTCATTATAATTTCCTGCTGAATAATTTTGTTTGGTTTATAATTAACTAATTTCTTCTCCAGGTGTTTTTAGTGTTGGCACTGATGGACTGTCAGCATTTGTGATGGAGGGAGATTCAGTCACTCTACACACTGATGTTGAAACAAAACAACAAGAAGATATAAAATGGTATTTTGATGACACTAGAATAGCTCAAATCAGTGGAGATCTCAGTTTTATCTGTACAGATGTTCAGTGTAATGTTGGTAATGAGAGATTCGAGGACAGACTAGAGCTGGACAGTAAAACTGGAACTCTTACAATCAGAGACATCAGAACCACAGACTCTGGACTTTATGAACTAAAGATCATCAGCATCAGTAGCAGCAGCGAAAAGACCTTCAGTGTTACTGTTCATGGTGAGTCATTTAATGAATAAATCCGTTTAAAAGCAGGTTTAGATCACATAATTAATGTTATCCTTTCTGTTTGAATGAGGAATTGATGTAAAATAAGTTTATAAAATGTGTGTAAAACAGAGATGCATGTTGCTTTTCAAAGAGCATGATTAATCACTTTCAGATCCAGAGATTATTTTGTGCTTTGGCTTAAAGATCCTTCAGTCAGCTGGTTTGTTTCAGATGTTCCTGCTGGTGAAGGAGATGAAATGAAGAGAAAGTCAGTGGAGGAGGGGGAATCTGTTACTTTACATCCTGGTGTAATGAAAAACCCAAATGATTTGATGACGTGGTATTTTAATGACATCTGCATCGCTGAAATCAACGAAGAACCCAGAATGATTTGTACAGATATTCAGTGTAATAATGGTACTGAGAGATTCAGAGACAGACTGAAGCTGGATCATCAGTCTGGATCTCTGACCATCACAAACACCAGAACCACAGACTCTGGACTTTATAAACTGCAGATCACCAGCAGCAGATTCAGCATTATAAGGAACTTCGGTGTTAATGTCACTGGTGTGTATCATTTTGTTTATTTCCCTTGAGCAATCTTAAAGTAGTTCACTTTTTTTTTTTCATTCTAGAAATGTTCTTCATTGTTTCATTGTGTTTGAAAAAGTGAGCTTTGACTCCGGTATTAAGTAGGGTTGCAAAGGGGTGGAACATTTCTAGAAAAAAAAAAATATGCTGAAAAATGTCCACAATTTCTTGAATGTTTCTGAAATTTACCAGAAATGTTTCACCTCTTTGCAGCCCTAGTATTAAAATATTGTTTAGATCTTGACCTTCATGTCAAGTGACTAATGTTAACATTGCTATTGTTTTCTGACAGCTCAATGATGTGATGCTATTTTAGGTGCTGTTCTTCAAAAACACACTAGAACTCACCACTTATCAATTAAAGCAATATCATGCAGCTGATGACTAAAGCAGAAAAGTGTAACATTTGTAAAATGGATTATAATTTGGTCTCTAGTAATAATGACTTATTTACTCTTTCAGTTCCAGGTCTGTCTGCAGGTGAAATAGCAGGAATATGTGCTGCTGCTGTCCTGCTGCTTATAGCTGCACCTGTTTTTTTTTGTTTTTACAAGTGTCGCGTAAAAAGGAAAGGTGAGTATTACATTAGTGATGGAAAGTCTGTTTTTTTCTCTCTCTCTCTCTGTGAACTGGTTCTTTCAGACAGTTCGTTTCAAAAACTTGGTTCAAAAAGTGATTCAATTTACATCAATACTAGATGATCATTTTTGTGCCCCAATTTGGGTAATTTAATACCCAATCTATCACGAACTGATACTTGTATTTTCCTAGTGTTAGATACACACTTAAAGTACTTTGTAGTTATTATAATCAATGTCCCCCTCGGTTGAAATCATTGGATCCAATACATTTTATTTATTATACTTTCTGCTGTTCGTCATTAATATATACTCTATCATTAAAAAAAAAAAAAATTATAATCACAACAATAAAAAAAAAAGGAATTTAAAAACCTACTGTTAAACAAACATTCTCAAGCTTTGTTCAGCCTCTTCCCCACTAAGTGGAAAATCCTCCCAAAATACCTAACTATTCCACTACTTCACCCCCTACTTACTTTGATCATCATAAACCAAACAAATAGAACTCAGAGGTCCTACTTTCAACTTGTCTTTCTTTGTTTACATTCTCTGTACCTTCACAGCACTTATTTTAACCTTATGTTTAAACTTTTAAATATGATTTAAAAATTGATTTAAAATGAATTTAAAACAGTTAAGAATAGAAAATTATTATACATAGAATACAGTGCAATTAGTTCGGACGTAGCACAGTGCTCATTCAGTACATGCACAGCTAAACAAGATGAGTTTTGATTCTGGATTTAAATGTGGCTAAAGTTTTAGCACATCTGATCTCTTCTGGAAGCTGGTTCCAACTGCGGGCA